ACGTCGGGGAGTTGACATATTTTGATTTTTTCGATTTTATACGGAAAATTGATGGTTTTTCGGGATTGAAATTATTATTGTTTCATGAAAAATAAATGCACCCAAAATGACTATAGCATATTGATTTTCACACATTTACACTCACGAAATTGGTTGGTAAATTCAACGAGTGGGTGCATCGACCTGGTATATCAAGTTTCTGCAATGTTTTACGGCAAATCAGTAGATTTTCGGGATGTAGATTGCTTACTTTCAATTCATGAATGAATAAAGCAACGACTTGGTTGAACTTCTTTGCATGGAAAGACGTTTAAAATACCAAAATCAAGACGTATTTAATGCAATTGCATTTATATCGAGTCAATTTCTTTTCAATAATATAACGGGATTTTTACTACCGGTGATTTGGGTATTTTAGCCCCAAAATACCTTTAAATCGACTTTATCTTCTAGGAGTTCGACACAATTTTTCCTTTCTTCGCTTCAATTATTCCGTAGCACTTTTCTTCAAGAATCTGATAAGATTTTGCTTGAGGCAGATCAAAAAACTTAAATTCGATCGAATAGCTTTCTACATTCACAATACACGGTCTCGTCAAGGTGCGTCTTTGACCTCGCAGTGTTGGATCGTGAATTCTCTTGTTGTGCTGTTTGCCTATTTTGAAATCTCTGTAAATGAAAACTAAAGGGGTTGATATGTGCGAGTTAATGACGCGCCTTATCAACATATTGTGTTGGAGTTCACTGCTTGTTTATATCAGTGGCGGTTGGGTGTCACGGCAAGGGCACGGTAGCGCTTTCAGTGTTATGTTAGTAGTATAAATATTTTTCCTTAACTTTTTCAGGAACTTCAGGTTAAATTCCGAAAGAGAAGTTCTGAAAAATTGAAAGAGAATTATTCGCAAGTTTATCAGGAAAAATGCGTGTTTTATCAAAGGAAATGTGGCAACGCCTAAAAGTTCATATGCGTGTTTCCTTAGCACGGCAGTATTACTCATATTACGCTCATCCGAAACATCCAGTTTTTTCTAAAATTATTTTTCATCTACTCAATGTGAGACTTTCCGTGCACAGCTGTAAATACAAGATTGTAAACTGTGGATGTTGCGAGAAGCAGGCAAGCTCATAAAAAGTATCAAACCTGCAAATTAATGAGCGAATTCTGGACGCAATACAGATACAGGAGTTACTCATTAAGACCGACTGCATTCTGTATAGCCTTCCGTTTTGCGAATGATGGTCTAAAGAATGAATCATCTGTTCGACTAATTCGGCAAAACAAATGTAATGAAGTAGAATCCGTTACGTGAGCCATGCGATTTTGGTAGAAAAACGAGGCTTAACGGGCTGCATGAGAGGGGAAGTAGGCTTCTAATCAAGCGTTTCTTCTGATATAAAACTCATTATGAAGTACCAAACAGCAGTTTGTTTTCTACTATGGGCCGCGTTACTGAAATAACACGTCAAAATTACATTTTTTCCCCTTCAAAATGCATCTGGTACTCACCTATAAAAGAGCGCACATGTTAACAACAGTTTTGCAGTTTCGGTTGTGATGATGTTTCATTTTAACCTTGTTCTGTTGTCTCGGACTCCTGTTTCGATTGGAAAAATAGTCTAAACGATTCGATTTACCTTTGACGTGTCCTCAGGGCGGCCGCGCAATGACTTCGTTCGGCAATCTGATTGCGGTGGGCCTTTTCATCATAGGTCCAGCTTTGTGTAGTAAGTTATCTCTTCGCTAATTCATCTCTGATATTCTAATGTTTCATTTTCATACAGGAAAATTTGTCAATGATGAGATCCATTGGGCAACGAAAGAGGTGTAGGCAGGATAAAGAGGTTAGCACTGAAGATACAGCCACCTATTTCAGAGCCTAGTTTTAATGGGAAAAATCGCGCAAAAATTACGACCAAGGCTGATCAAGCCGTTATGTGTACATTCCCGAAATTGACAGCTCAAACTGTATAAATACTGTATTTTGGGTCTTCCTTTGTCGATGCCCTCGTGTCTTAATCGATATACATTTTCAGGATTCATGAGAGAACATACCGGGAGAAAAATTGGATTTGAATACCATGTGGCACACTGTTAAAAATCCCGGCGCGAAATTCATGCTTACTCAGTTGCCATTTTGACCACCTGTTACTCTGAGTGCATGGATCCGGTCAGTGGCGTGGCGTGAATTGCGATGTATCGATTGGTATGTAATTTAAACCTATGGTAAAGAATCGATTATTAAGGTGTTCGCTGCGAACGCCCTGTTTATCGATCCTTTTCCATAGGTTTAAATGGCAGATCAATCGATACATCGCAAAGCACGCCACGCCACTGGATCCGGTGCGAATTCCGCGCTCTGGCCGGAGTGAAAATCTGACAGTCAAACGTAAAACGGAACTGTCGCAGCATGGATTCGAATTCGAGTCGCGGCGGTGATAGACGAGTGCGCTACCAGTTGCCATTCGGCGTTCATACCAGGAGGTCCTGAATTCACGCCACTGGGGGTACCTCAACTAATTCGTCCGTCGTTTGTGATATTTACGCTCCGATCTATTCACTCAGAGTACGGCGCGAAATTCGCGCTGGATTTTTTTTTTTCACGCCGGCTATTCATTTGGAGTAAATCATTGCTTTTTAACAGTGTTAGCAGTAAAGATACCCAACTTAAACCCAACTTAATGTATAATTATAGTTTAATTTATCAATTTACGTATATTCTTCTTTTAATAATTTTGTACCATCTTTACTTATGTTTTATAGGTACTCTTTTCATAATTAGAATGTACATATAGGCCTTCGTGCCAATTTCTGTCAAAATTGGTTACAAGTTGTATAGTCACCAATAAATTATTATATAAAAAAAAAAAAAAAAAAAAAAAAAAAAAAAAGCACTGAAGATACAGCCACCTATTTCAGAGTCTAGTTTTTAATGGGAAAACCGCGTAAACATTACGACAAAGGCTGATCAAGCCATTATGTGTAAATTTCCGAAATTGACAGCTCAAATTGTATAAATAGTGTACCTATTTTGGGTCTTCCTTCGATGGTGTCTTAATCGATATACATTTTCAACGGATTCATGAGAGAATATACCGGGAGAAAAATTGGATTTGAATACCATGTGACACGTATATAAATCTCGAGTCATTCATTATTATCATTACTTGTATCATTACATTGATTCCTGAATTCGTGTCGATAAATAATTAAATTTCATCTCGATTCATTCCGCCTGAGCTTTTGGGCTCTTAGTGTCACGAATTTGCGGCCACGGGCTGTGGCAACGACAAGCACGTATTTAAAACGAGCCGTGGAACGAAATTTTTAATTTAAACCGCCCCACGCCTTTATCGGACCCGTGGGTATTTTATTCGCCGGCATCAGATTTAACCGAGAAAAGAGTTTAAAAAAACAGTGAGCTCCAACACAGTTTGTTGATAAGGCACGTCATTCATCCATGCAAAATGCTTATTTAAGTTGATGAAATAAAATGCTTAAAGTTTAATAAAGCTATTATTTAAAGTTTATAATGTAAAGATTATTGGTTTGAATTTACATCAAGTATATGAGTTGAGGAAACAAATCATGTGAGAAAATCCACTTTCACACTGCACACTTAAACAGTTTAAAGTGACATCCGAGGCCACGCGAAAGAAAAGCAACTTGGCGCTGAGCTCTTACCCTAATAGCGGCAACTGAACTGCCGTGCTAACGAATAACGCCGTATGAACCTTCAGGCGTTGCCAAATTTCCTTTGGTAAATCATGAATTTTTAAGCACATTTGTGAACATTTTTCTTCCAATTTTTCAGAAAATTTCGTTCCCAATTTTACCTACGGTTTTCGAAAATTTCTCTGACAAATATTCATAACTTTTCTCAAAAATAAACATTTTTTCGGAAAAAATTTTACAACGCTCGAATGTTTATACGGCGTTTTTCATTAGCACGGCAGATCACCCAGTGAACCCCCAAACTGCGGGAAGACGTGATAAAAGTTTGCGAGATTTTCTGTTACTGAGATTTCTTTACATATACCTCTAGGTGAACATGATTACCGGCTACTATGTAAAATTAACTGAAGAAATGCTGTAACAAAACTATGATTCAAATTTTGGTTTACATGTTATCTCGACTTACTGATTCGTTTCAGATCCGAGCCTAATCGAGAAATGCAAGTATGATTGCAAGCAGAGCTATGGGTTCGTCGAGCACGGACACTCCAATGTACCGATCAAAACTGGGGTAATGCAGTATATACCTCGAAAGTGTAACTGCATATTTAACCTCTCGGAACTGAAGCACATCATAGACGAAGCGAACCTCGAAGCAGTCGAGACGGATTATTGGGAGATGACACAATGGTTGAAGGACCACGGTTATAAATTGAGGCTCAATCTGGAGACGTGCGATCAAGTGTGCGTGCAGGAAGGAGGGTACGTCCAAAAAAAGAAACCACGCAAATCGGAGCATAAGAAGATTGGCATTTTAAGAATCAGCGACGCTAACGGGAAGGAAAAGTCAACGGGCAAAAAAGGGCGTAAGGTGTCGTTCCAACACGGGAACGGGGAGGCAGGATCGCGACTTCACAAAAGCGGGCACGAGGAGACTGGCAAAGACGGGAACCAGCAGGAAGAATCACACCATGTCCTGCTCAAAACTGGGCACCTGAAGAATATCGATAATGAGATAGGCGAATGTGAGTGCAGGTACCGCAAAGACTTCTATCATTTCCTGGAGCACGAGGGCTGCGACGTGGCCGCATTCAAAAAACGCGAGGATAACTCTACGGAGGCAAGAAACTGGTTGATAGCTGAGGGCTTGTCGGTGAGTGCGATACAAGCACATCGCGACGTGTACGAGTTAGAGGAAACGCCCGATTTGGAATGTGAGCACAACTGCCGCGTGACTCAGGGATACGTCGGCTTCAAAAAAAGCCTCTTTAAAAATGATCCTCACGGGAGGATACCAATCGCCACGGATGTAGACGAAAACGATCCTTCGGACACCCAGATTTTGGCAATTGAGATTCCGAGAGACGAACAAGACCCACTGGAGTGTAAATGCAAAATCAACCCTGAAGTGTATCCTCACTTAGATAAGTTAAAAATTAACACCTCCCATTTCAAAACGGCATTTTTTGAAGGCAAAGCTAAGGGGTGCAAGTGGTTATGGTGGTGGAATTTGCGTAAAGGTGGAAAGTATGTCAATGTCATGTGCCCCAAACCACCCAAAAAACCCAAAGAACCCAAAAAATCCAAACCCCCTCGAAAAACGTCAAGCGACGATTACGACTACTGATGAGGGGTAAGAGCCATTGCCCCGAAAAAGAAGAAGAGGAGGACAAAGAAAAAACTTCGCCGTTTTCCGACTTCGGAATTGACCATAACGAGAAATAGGGGAGAAAGGAAAGTGGAGGAAAGAGGAAGGGAGGACGCTTGAAGTTTAAGAATTGCTCTTCCTGTTTCACTCGAAGGTGATGGGTGTCTCATCCTTTCTTCCCCTAGATATATGAATATTATGAGACATATGACGGACGTATGATTGAGGTAGGGTTTGTAATTTTTCTTTTCACATTACAGCGTCATTATACAGTGCTTCCATGGAGGATTGGAAAAAAAACTAAAAACATCAGCTTGCATATTTTATACCGTGGAATGCGGCAAAGTTGCTAACTTATTTTCGCCAAAATTAATTGTCGGCTTGACTGTATTGTTCCCTAGCACTCGGTGTTTAGGTAAATAAAATAAAAGTGTTTTAATCATAAATGGCACGCATCCCGTTCATGTCGTAAAGACTACGTCACGGTCCAGTCTAGCTGCCTTAAAGTTCAACAATTTCTCTTCATCTGTTTCACTCGGAGGTGATGGGTGTCCCATCCTTTCTTCCCCTAGATATATGAATATGATGAGATTATGACCTTTTCTAGCTGCCAAAAATCTTAATGATCTTTTGCACTCTCCCTCTGAGGAGATGAGGATCTCTTCGCCTCTCTATTTGGAGATGCTAGCTATCTCCTCGTATTTTTATCTGCAGATGGTGGCTGCCCCTCCAATCTCCTCCTATTCGTTTTGAGTCCTTCCGGAAATGAGGAGAAGGTGTCAGCTCCCAACATGTAGCACTGCAGCGATTAAAAACAATGGGAAGAAAGGATTTCCGGAAGGACTCAAAACGAATAGGTGGAGAGTGGAGGAGCAGCCACCATCTGCAGATAAAAATACGAGGAGATCGCTAGCATCTCCAAATAGAGAGGCGAGGAGATCCTCATCTCCTCAGAGGGAGAGTGCGAAAGATCATTAAGATTTTAGGCAGCTAGAAAAGGTCATGATCTCATCATATTCATATATCTAGGGGAAGAAAGGATGGGACACCCATCACCTCCGAGTGAAACAGATGAAGAGAAATTGTTGAACTTTAAGGCAGCTAGACTGGACCGTGGCGTAGTCTTTACGATATGAACGGGATGCATGCCATTTATGATTAAAATACTTTTATTTTATTTTCCTAAACACCGAGGGCTAAGGAACAATACAGCCAAGACGAAAATTTTGGCGAAAATAAGTTAGCAACTCTGCCGCATTCCACGGTATAAAATATGCAAGCTGATGTTTTTAGTTTTTTTCCAATCCTCCATAGAAGTACTGTATAATGACGCTGTAATGTTTAAAGAAAAATTGCAAACCCTATCTCAATCATACGTCCGTCATATGTCTCATTACATTCATATATCTAGGGGAAGAAAGGATGAGACACTCATCACCTTCTAGTGAAACAGAGGAAGAGCAATTGTTAAACTTCGATATATTTAGTAATTATTCTTGACGAAATTGACCGTTCCTTTCTCCTCTATTTCTCACTATGGTCAATTCCGAAGTCGGAAAATGGCGAAGTTTTTTCTTTGTCCTTTAAATCTGTCAGTTAGCAGGCAGGCGGTATTGTGTTTTAAACTTTGCAGCATGCTTAGTTTATTTATGAGAATGTTTTATTATTAATTAATCTCATTTTATTGTGACTTTAAAATCTATTTCTGTCAAATGTTTAAATAAAATATGATATTATTTGCGTTAAGATTTAATTTTCGATCACACTCCTTAACTTTTTTGCTAGTAAGTAAAATTATCATAAATATGGGGTCGGCAAGCTTAGTCGCAATTTTATCAAAGCAATAACTCATTTGCCTCATAAACAGTCAGAAAACTGCATGCAGTTATACGTCAAACGCATGAAGGGTTTATCGTTGGGAAGATTTAAATGCATGGGCTGTCTAAAAAATGCCCGGACTGTTTCGCAAATTCAAAAACTAAGCTAGCTAGAGCCTTGATCTTGGTTATAATTCAAAGGTGAACTCGAAAGCTTAGTTGAATTGGAGGTCAACTCATTTGGTCACAAATGAACGAAGTTATAACAGTTTTGGTAAAAATAAATCGGGACCCTCCTCCGTTTTCAATGGGAACATATTCTCGTTATGGGTATTACATATATCTTCGGTGCAGTGATGTGGCGTGCTTTGCGAACCATCCATATTTCCCCATTTGAAGCTGTGGTAAATAATCGATTGTTAAGGTGTTTGCTGCGAACAGCCTGTTTATCGATACTTTTCCATAGGTTTAAATGACCGATTAATCGATATACCTCTCTGATTATATCGAACACAATCGTCCGCTGACCAACCTTGTTTCATTCTACACGCCATTTCAGTAATCCCTGAGTGACTTTGGCTTTTTTTTTGCCGATATTTCTTTAGATGAGTTTCCGCGACTCACAAAAGATTCAGAATTGGATTATGAACAATTTATCGTTGTCAGTATTATGTTGCGGATAAAACGTTCCGAGCTCAAAAATAGTGAAAAACGTAAATCGAGACATAAGTTTAGATGTTTTTGACAGCAATTCCGCCTGAGGAATTCAGAAAAATATGTTAAGAAAGTGGTAAAATAATTAGTTTATTGATAGCCAATATTTTGAGATGGAAAATGATAATTTCAAAAAGTCAAAGGGATGAGCGGATTAATCGTGAGGAGGCAGTAAGACGCTCTCTAAAAACTGTGGAGGGCTCTAATTTTTGAGCGTCTCTGGTTTACCAGATGCGACTTCCAGCCGATCGACTCCTCGTTGTAACATGTATACATGGGACATAGCGTGTTGTCGTAGCCGTTTTGGTACAGGCAGTAACACTTTGATCTTGTTCGTTAACTGTTATTTTTAAAAATATGCGTAGAATGTGCACGGATTTCCGGGTTACATTATTTTAAGGTCCTCGCCGTGCTTAAAAATTTATTTCTGATCTTTAATTTCCGAGGAGTATTTTTTTAGGAGTAGTCACGTAATCCCTTCATTTAGTGACGTATTGCTGTGATTGGTTCATTTTCCAATTTTTTTGCTAGTATGTTAGTGGACAGAAAAACCCCCCTCAAATTGCAAGACAAAAAAAAAGGGAGCATTGTACATGGTGGAAAATTTCGCCAAAGGACCCATTACGTCTGTAAAAGCCAAAATCAGACGTTAATATTGAACGATTTCTTGATTTAATTCATGAGAATCCAAATATTAATTTGCCTCAGGGCCAAAGTCATTGGGCCGAGACGCTACTGTGGAGCTTCGAAACAACTGTGAAGCATGTGGCCAATAAGCGTACGCAATTTCTGAACGCGCCTCCTCATTCTCTGAGACATGGGTCAAGTTTTCAGTTAAAAAGTGTAGTATTTCTCATCACAAAAGCGTCGCCAGTGTGGCCGAGTGCCTTCGCGTCCGGCTGAAAATCCGGAGGTCATGGATCAATCCTTCGCCTGGAATATTTTTTACTTTGTTTTAAGGTATTTTTCGTGTTTAATTTGACTGAAAAAGTATGAGCAACTATATTACTTGCTTCTGCCACTGAGAGAAGCGCCCTCCAACTCAATTGCGTTCTTATTTTTTCTACACTAATAAAATTAATTCCGTTAATCTTATTATATTACTTATTTTCTATATCGAGATTTTTCTTTGTTATAGTTAGTTCATCTATTTTTGGTAGTTGAATAGGACTAAATAATTGGAATATTCAAAAAATAATGGGTCTTGTTTTTCACTCAAACTGTCGCAACTTTGTCGATTTTTTGTGTGAGTGCATTTTTAGTCGGGATGGAGCGGTTTACGGCGACCTTCTGGTCAGCATCACAAAAAAGACAACGTTTTTAAGCGAAGAGTGCGGAATTCAAAACAGGCTGCAGGCGTCAACACCACTGTGCTGGAGAGCTCGCCCTCGCTCGGGCATTTACAAACATTCTTCGTTTTTCGTTCTCATTCACTCCGTTGCTGTTAAAAGTTAATATTTATTATCTTTGTGGGATTTTTTTGGGCAATCGATGGAAATTGAATACTTCTTAGCCATGTTATTATTTTCATCTCCGCCTTCCCATACCTCCTCTCATGGCCTATTTCACCTGACTTCAACACAATTTCGCCTTCATAATCTGTGCAGGCAAAGTGATTTACCTCGGTGTTCAAACAGTCACCTACAGCCGTTTTCTACATTCATTCTGTCAATGTAAAATTTTAAATGGTTTCATATCGTGTACACGCGGTTATACTGAAACCACTAAAATACGTTCCTATATAGAGGTTAGTGTTCAAAAGGGTATGCTTATAATTCATTTTTATCAAGAGTACACTACTAAAAATGTGTGAGCTCTTTTAGTGAGCAAAGAAGAATCACATAAAATTACATTCAATATTGATGAGCAGCATCAGCGTAAAACGTAAAGTGTGACAGGAAATCTGTCATATCTGAAATACGAGGTAAAGATGTATTTAAGGAACTAAGAAACCGAAAGTTTGATGGTATAATTTGTTTATTTTTTGTGTAAGAAAAATGATCACCTGACGCATACAATCAGGATAATAAAAGATAATCTAAATAAAGTTATATAAGACAATAGATTTAAGTTACATGGAAGTTATAACACGGCTGACCTGCCGGCTGCGCGCTGGGGTCCATGATTGCAATGGGCCTGTTGCAAACTTTTGCTAGAGCAAAACTAAGAGTTGTTTCTTATAGATAATGCCTCAAAAATCACGATGAGCGCATCGGCAAACTCTGAAATGCACTCATAACTTCACAAACTGCGTAAGAAATTTGCGGTTTTTTGAGC